TAGGTACAAATCAAATCAACGGATTATCCTCTTCAGTTTGAATTTGAACGTTGTCAGTAACACCGGGTCGATGTGCAAACGCTCCTCACTTGGCGGAGGAAGAAGATGTTGCGACTTCTTGTCGACTGTCGACAAAGATCTCCGGCTCTTTAACCTTGAGCCACCACCTCTGTTTCCAAATTTCTCATTGTGTCAACCCTGTTCATCATGAGTTCTCATTCTGAAGAGGAGAGCCTCCCGATTGAGCCTTCTGAGGCCGGAACGAGCCGAAAACGGACCCGAAATCCTGAGTTCTGGAAGAGGACCCGCCAAAGGAAAGAGAACATCGGAAGCAAAGGTTCGCGACCATCGATCGAATGCGGCCATGACGGCGATCATTGGTGTAGGATACGGTCTCTGCTTGGAAGTGTCCTCGACAAACACCACGATGCGATGTACTCGCAGAAGACGAAGTCTCTCCAGGATGCCTACATAACGCAGCACATCGACATGCGAGCGATTCAAAGACGCCGGGGAGCTGGGGGACCTGAGCGCCAATACTCTGCAGAATATTTTCTGATGAAGCATGATGGTGCGAAGGCTCGCGTCTGCCTTGATGGTTTCTGTGGGGTTCTGAGCGTCAGCAGGCGTCGTGTGCAACGCTTGGCGGCTCATCTGAGGGCTAACGGTGTTTCTCGACCAGAAAGGCGGGGAGGGAAGCGCACATTTCCGGAAGTAGAAGCGATCCGACGTGCCATCCGAGAACACATACGAAGTTTCAAGTGCGTCCAGAGTCACTACGGTCGGATGAAAACTCCGAACCGCAAATATCTGCCGACGTCGTGGTCCATCAGGCTGATGTGGTCGAAATTCACCGAAGTACACACTCAAAATGATGTTTTGTCAAAGTGCACTTATGAGCAATACCGCTACGTGTTCTCCTCGGATTTCAATCTTGGTTTCGGATCGCCACGCGCAGACATTTGCAGCACTTGTGAGGAGAAAAGGCAAAAGATGAAGACGTGTAAGGATCCCACCGAGAAGATGACTCTCGGATTGGAGCTTCTGGTACACAGAAGGGAAGCCAAGAAATTCTATCGATTGCTCAATGCGGAGATAGATGCATCCACTGCGGTATTCGCAGTGGACATGATGCAAAATCAGCCATTGCCCAAAATACCGATTGGGGAGGCGTTCTACGCCCGCCAAATATGGCAATACCTGCTGGGGATTGTGCGTCATTATGGAGCGGATTCGCAGCAGCGCATAGACGACTGCTATCTCTACACGTGGACAGAACATCAGGCCGGTAGAGGCTCGGACGAAATTTCAAGCGCAGTGGCAGATTTTTTCCGTCATATCATGGATTCCAATCACCACATCAAGACCATCAAAGTGTTCTCGGACTCTTGCGCGGCCCAGAACAAGAATTACTGCCTTCTCGCGGTGTTGTCAGGGCTGTCGCGGGAACTAAAAGTGACATTCGAGCTAACTTATCCGTTGCCGGGCCATAGTTTCTTGCCCGCCGACAGAATGTTTGGTCGTCTTGAGAAAATCCTACGCAAACACGATACCCTGCTGACCCCAGCAGAGTATTTCCCGTTGCTCGCGCGGGTTGCGACTGTGCGCATTCTTCAAAGAGATTGGTTCATGCACTGCTTCAAAGATGCAACGAAGCCGCTCCTAAAATCTAAGCAGCCGTTCAGAATTTCAGTGATGAAGTTTATACGAGTCATGGCAGGTGGCAAGATCGAATGCTCAGAAAAATACAACGCCACTTCCAAAGAGTTCCAGATCATGAAAACTAATCAGAGTCTGAATTTGTTCCGCTTGCTCAGAGTGCCTCGGCATACGGGCCTTCGCCCGGTGAAAAAAGATAAATTAGTAGATGTGAAGCATCTTCTGACCAAGGCCGGAATCTCGGATGATCATCCGTGCGCCTCTTTCTATCGAGAAGTAGAAGCTGTCATGGATGCAAACAATGCCGGCTCCAGAAGTGATCATGAAAGTGATTAAGGCAGAGAGCTGACAATCTTGCAGGATCGAGGATAATTCTAAGGAAAAACTTTGTATCAGCTCGGCACCTTATTGGAATAAATTTTTCGGATCTGTTGTCAATCTTTCGGAAAAAGTCAATTTTCCTCTTTTTCGATGAACCGAAATCGAGACCCCCTCTTATATCCAGCCGGGAGATCTGGAGAAGATAGGGCCTGGGTGGACGCCAATATCTTTTCATCGCGGGGCGAATCTCTCGAGTCAATTTTCAACCGCAGTTTCTTGCTCTTCTGCCCAAAAAAGAGGGATGGAGATGTGCCGCTTTGCTTTTAGTCTCTTCAATTATAGGCCATGACAACAGAGTCCAGAGACTTTACAGAATCATCGAGTGAAGACTCGATGGTGCGCACCATGCGCTCTGCGAGTCCGTTGCTCGCCGGCATTCCGGGGGCACAGCGAAGGTGGACAATGTTCATGTCCGAACAGAACTCTGCAAATTCTTTGGACGTAAACTGAGCACCATTGTCAGAAACAAGAGTGTCAGGCGGCCCGAAACGGCGAAACAGTTGCCTCAAATACCCGATGAGAGATGCGGATGTCAACGACGACAACCATTGAGCATCAACGTATTTTGAGAAGCTGTCGACGACGACAACGAAAGCAGAACCTTTCTTTGGCTCGCCGAAGTCTATGTGAATCCTTGACCACACTTTGCCAGTGTTGGGCCAAGGGACGAGCGGGATTTTCACGGGCTTTGCCGCTGACTGGATGCAACGCTCGCATGACCTCACCACGTTCTCGATGTCACTCGACATGGCTGGCCAGTAGAAGTGCAGTCTTGCCAGACTCTTCATACGACGAATGCCTGGGTGACCTTGGTGGAGCTGCTTCAGAACAGTCTTTCGCATGGCTTGCGGAATGACGACCTGCTCTCCTCGCAGCACGACGTTCTTCGACACGCAAAGAGAATCAGCAGCCTGAAAGAAGGGACGGATTCGAGCATTCTTCTTGTCGGAGTCCTTCCAGCCTTGATTGATTCTTGAGACAACTTCGCGTAGAACCGGGTCTTTCTGCGTTTCCTCGACGAGACGTTTTC